TGTGGACATAATATACTTAGACTTCAGCAAGGCATTCAGCAAAGTAGACCACAAGCTTGGTAAGCTAGAAAAAAGTGGGATAGATAGCATCACCATCAGATGGATTCGTAACTGGCTGATAAATCATACTCAACGAGTAGTCCTTAATGGTACTATGTCTACATGGAGGGAAGTAAGCAGTTGGGTACCACAAGGTTCCTCTTAGGCCCAATACTCTTCAATATCTTCATAAACGACTTAGATGAGGGAATAGAAGGGGAACTTACCAAATTTGCAGATGATACTAAGTTGGCAGGAATAGCCAACACCCTAGATCAGCGGTTCTCAACCTGGGGGTCGCGACCCCTTTGGGGGTCGAACGGCCATTTCACAGGGGTTGCCAAAGCCCTCTCTCACCCACCCCCCCACACCTTCACTCACCTCACTCTCTGCCTCTGTTGGATCGCCGGCCATTCGCTTACCCCACCCACTCCCAATCTATTGGTGCCTCCTGAGTCCCAGCTGATGGCTAGAGGGAAAAAAAACTGTTTAAATTCTTGCCACAGGGCTTCAAAGGGCCGCCCTACAGCTGATCAGTTTTAAAAGAAAACAAATGAGTAGACCGGTGCCTGCAAAAATAGAAAAAACAGCCCCTTTCAGCTTCAGGATAGGTTAATTAGCACAAGTTGATTAGATCAGCCTCGACTCTCAGCTGATTTGCTATTAGCTGTTTTGCGGAGGGCTCTGTAGCTGCAAAAAAAATCTCGAGCAGATGTTTTTTCCCCCTAGCTATGCTGAAAAAACAAAACTGAAAGTAAAGCAGGGTCTTTGCTGCAACGTGACAAAATGAGGCAGAGAGAGATTTCTTTTTCTTTTTCCTCACCAAAAAAAGGTAGGTGCAAAACAGCAAACAATGGAAAATTTAGGGCAAAAAAGGAGGTTCAAGATTTTAAAACACAAAAGAAAAAAAGCTCTATTTAACTAGGGACTTGTAATAATTGAGATACTATTAATTGTATATTGTGTTGAAAGCAGAAATGGTTAAGTTGTGGTTTGGAGGAATATATGGGGGAAATTATTTGGTTTATTATTGGTAAATATAATTAATTGATTTGTAAGAAATTGGATTGCATGGAAATAATTGGAATATTCATGTTCATATTGATTAATATACAACAAAGATAGTTATATAACTAATTGATTTATATTAAAATGTTGAATTTGTATTAAACAACTGTATTAATAATTACATAATTAACCAATGTGAGGATGGATATAAAAATAGATGACAATGCGAAGGGGTATAATATAGAATAGAAGGGAAAAATTGAATTTGATTAAGATTAGAGATGAGGATGAAGGGTAATATTGGTTTTTTTAAAAAAATAGATGAGGAATAAATATGGCAAAAAGGAAATAAAGAAATTGTAAATTTAATTGAAATGACTAAACATTGTTTAAATTTGTGAACCGGCCAAATACTCTGTTCAAAGAAAATACATTGTATGTTTGTATGTGTGTTTCTAATTATTGCTATTTATTCATATTTGTTCTCTTTTATTCTTTAAAGTTAAACAATTCATTCTTTATCTTAATATCTTCATATTTGTTTGGGGTTGGTTTTCTTCCCTTTCATCTTTTTTATTGTACAGCAATCTTTCTCCTCAAACCTACCACCTCTCTCTTTTCTTTCCTTCTTACTTTCTCTTCCCCCCCTCTTCTCCTCCCTACTTCCTCTTCCTTTCTCCTTCTCCTCCTCTCTTCCTCCCTCTCTTACCCTCAGTCCTACTCTTAATTTCCCTTCCCTTCCTTCATCCCTCTCTATTGCTGTATCCTTTTATGCATATGGACTACTCAGAGGGCTGAAAAAGTTATTTTTGTCTGGTCCTCGCACTTTTGACTGGTCCTCGCACTTTTGACCAGTCCTCGAACTTACGACTGTCCTCACATTTTACGTTTTTGCCCTATCTTGTCACCATGGTGAAGAGAAGCAGTTGTGAAATGAGTGACATGGTTGTTAAGAATGCTACAATGGGCATAAATGATAACCAGTCATAAGTGCGAAGATCGGTCAAAAGTGCAAGGACCTGTCAAAAATAACTTTTTTTCAGCCTTCTGGGTAGCCTTCTCCTCCTCTCTTCCTCCCTCTCTTACCCTCAGTCCTACTCTTAATTTCCCTTCCCTTCCTTCATCCCTCTCTATTGCTGTATCCTTTTGTGCACATGGACTAGTCAGAGGGCTGAAAAAGTTATTTTTGACTGGTCCTTGCACTTTTGACCAGTTCTCGAATTTACAACTGTCCTCACATTTTACATTTTTTGCCCTATCTTATCACCATGATGAAAAGAAGCAGTTGTGAAATGAGTAACATGGTTGTTAAGAATGCTGCACGGGCATAAATGTGAGGATGGTCATAAGTGTGAGGACCAGTCAAAAGTGCGAGGACCTGTCAGAAATGACTTTTTTCAGCCCTCTGAGTAGTCCCTATACACATAGCCATTGCCACCCGGTCACATGACCAGCTAGCCATGCCCACCCAGTCACATGATCTCCAAGCCACGCCCACAAAATAAGCCACACCCACAGAACCGGTAGTAAAAAAATTTAGAATCCACCCCTGGTTGGGGGTCACCACAACATGAGGAACTGTATTAAAGGGTCGCGGCATTAGGAAGGTTGAGAACCTCTGCCCTAGATGATAGCCTCAAGATCCAGATGGATCTTGACAGACTTGAACACTGGGCTCGATCTAACAAAATGAAATTCAATGTAGAAAAAAGTAAGGTCTTACACTTAGGCAAGAAAAACCAAAAGACTGGGTGAAACCAGGCTTAATAGCAGAAACTCTCAGAGGGATTTGGGAGTGTTTGTGGACAACCAATTAAATATGAGCCAACAGTGTGTGGCAGCAGCCAAAAAAGCCAATGCAATCCTAAATTGCATTAACAGAGATACAATCAAGATCTAGTGAGGTACTAATACCACTTTATAAAGCCTTAGTAAGACCACACCTAGAATACTGCATCCAGTTTTGATCACAGTATAAAAAAGATGTTGAGACTCTAGAAAGAGTGCAGAGAAGAGCAACCAAGATGATTAGGGGACTGGAGGCTAAAACATATGATGAATGTTTGCAGGAACTGGGCATGGCTAGTCTAGTGAAGAGAAGAGAAGAGAAGGAACGGGAGCATGATAGCAGTGTTCCAATATTTGAGGGACTGCCACAGAGAGGAGGGGGTCAACCTATTTTCCAAAGCACCTTTCAGAAGTCGTGGGAGCTTCATCACTGGAAGCTTTCAAGAAGAGACGACTGCCATCTGTCAGAAATGGTGTAGGCAGGGTCTCCTGCTTGGGTGTGGGGTTGGACTTGACCTGCAAGGTCCCTTCCAACTTTGTTAATCTGTTAAGTATGTAATAAAAGAAGTAAAAATGGCTGTGTATGGAAGTGTGATTCTGTCCACTTTGCTACATGAGTTAGATATGATGGGAGAAACCTGAAACTTGAGTCACTTAGACTCAAAAAAATAAAATAAATAGTAGAAATGAATAAAGTAAAAATGACTTACTTAAGAAGTATTGTTATTTTAAAAAGAAGAATAGGTGGGGTTAAGAATAGATGAGTGGAGAGAATAGTGTCAAATTCTAAAACAAGTGTATATAGAAGAGTGGAAGGGGTAATCCTAGAAAATTATGATAAGATAGAATTGATGAGATCTTCAAAAGAAAAGTGGGAAGGACAGAAGTCAGTATTTAAAACAACATATGGAGATAACAAGTAATGCTTGTTTGCAAAACTATAAAAGTATTGAGGGATATAGTGAATGGAATTCATGAAAAGTGGATTTACATATATTTCCTCCCCCTCTTATATCACGACTTTATGTTCTGTACTATTTATGCATTTTTCATAATAATGTTTTCCCCAATAGGAAATAACATGATGTTTTGCATGTGTGTGTATTCTTGTGATCTGTTTATATTACAGAGGAAACAGAAATTATTGTAAGTGTTGTATTGTCTTTTATAGCTCCAATATAATGTAATTAAACCCTTTCTCCATTCTCTTTTGAAAGAATGAAAAAGAATACAGTATATGAGAATATATATAATTTATTGGTTCGATTTATATGCCGCCCTTCTCTGGAGACTCAGGGCGGCTTACAATGTGTTAAGCAATAGCCTTCATACTTTTGCATATACCTGCTTAGTAGGGCTTTCAGCCCCCCCTAAGCATGTTCTTTTATATACAAAGTCAGTTTATTGCCCCCACAATCTGGGTCCTCATTTTACCTACCTTGGAAGGATGGAAGGCTGAGTCAACCTTGAGCCTGGTGAGATTTGAACTAACAGTAATTGCAGGCAGCTGGCAGCTAAATGCTACTTAACAGCACTTTAGTCCACTGCGCCACCAAGGCTCTTGGTGTTATTGTACTGTTGCTTGTTTAATCTCTTGGGTTCAAAGTTGATATAATTATGTAAACATTACTCTTGAGTGATGATATGAATCATCCCCATAGGATTCTGAACACTTTAGGGAATAATCTGATAGAACCTTGCTGGTGCAAATAAGGAGCCTGAGTGGCGCAGCAGACTAATGCTACTGTTAAAGGTAGTATTTAGCTTCCAGCTGCCTGCAATTATTGCGAGTTCAATTCTCACCAGGGTCAAGGTTGACTCAGCCTTCCATCCTTTCTAAAGTAGGTAAAATGAGGACCTGGTTTGTGGGGGCAATAAGCTGATTTTGTATAAAAATATACAAAAGTATGAAGGCTATTGCTTAACGCCTTGTAAGCCGCCCTGAGTCTCCGGAGAAGGGCGGCATATAAATCAAAATAAAAATAAAAAATTTTAAAAAAATAAATCTGTAATGTGAAATAAACAAAAGAACAGTGGGACTAATGCAAACAACTCAAAAATTCCATTAGCTTCACAGTGACAATGTATATAATGGTATAACAGTGCACTGGGTACTGAAAACTTCATTACCTATTTCAGTTCACATGATGTTTTCTTTTTGCCAGAACGTCTGTCAAGTTGGTTGTGCTTCTGGGTCTTTCTATCAGATACCTGTTCTAGCAAGGAGAGCTTATTCATATGTAAAATGTGGTATGTTTTAAAAAAGAGTTGTATTTCAACTCAACTCTTGTTTTTGTAGCAAGATAAACTATAACATTAATATAGATATAGTTGAATTGGCACTGTAGAAGAATAAGAATAGGAAATAAATAACAACCTTGTTATGATTTTAAATCTTACAAAGTTCTGATTTGAAATTCAGTGAAAATCAACACAAAGAATGTGGACTGACATCCACGCTCACAATTTCTGAGCATTTAACTGAAGGTCTGAATATATCCTATATTTGAACAATATGTATATATTTGGCTCTGTTCAAACCATTGGATGGATATTAGATGTGGTGGGCAATAAACTTACATTTCCTTTCTATGTAGTAAGAATGTTTACATTTTGCAGGAGTGGCACAAGAACATAAAGGCTAGGCATGTGGAAAATCCCAAGATGAAAAATCTTTGCTTGTGTGCTACTGCCTGCCAGAATGGGACATAAGTTCTAACAAAATGAAATTCAGTGTAGAGAAAAATAAGATTTTACACTTAGGCAAGGAAAGCCAAATGTTCAGGTACAGATTAGGTGAAACCTGGCTCAGTAGCAGTAACTGTGAGAGGAATTTTGGAATCCTAGTGGACAATCACTTAAATATGAGCCAGTAGTGTGTGGCAGCAACCAAAAAAGCCAGTGCAATCCTAGACTGCATTAATGGAGGGATAAAATCAAGATCACATGAAGTATTAGGACCACTTTATAAAGCCTTAGTAAGACCATACTTAGAATACTGTAACAAGTTTTGGTCACCATATTATACAAAAAGATGTTGAGACTCTTGAAAGAGTGCAGAAAAGAGCAACATAGAGGATTAGAGGGCTGGAGGCTAAAACTTATGAAGAATGGTTGCAAGAATTGAGTATGTCCAGTCTAGTGAAAAGAAGGACTAGGGGTGACATGATAGCAGTGTTTCAAATTTTTGAAGGCTGCCACCAAGAAAATGGGGTCAACCTATTTTCCAAAACATCAGAAGGCAAGAAAAGAAACAATGGATGGAAGAAACAATCAAGGAGAGAAGAAACCTAGAACTAAGGAGAAATTTCTTAACAGTGAGAATAATTAACCAGTGGAATGGCTTGCCTACAGAAGTTGTAGGTGCTCCATCACTGGAGGCTTTTAAGAAGAGAATGGACAGTCACTTGTCTGGAATGATACAGGGTCTCCTGCTTGAGCAAAGGGTTGGACTAGAACGGGTGTCAAACTTGCAGTCCGTGGACTGGGTGCGTCACATGCTGGTCATGCCCATCCCCATTTTAGCAAAGGGGGAAAAAGTTGCGATACATCACATGATGACAACGTGTCATCGCGGGTTTGACATCCCTGCACTAGAAGGTCTCCAAAATCCCTTCGAACTCTATTATTCTGTTAGAAATTATTTAATTAACTGGAGGAAGAAAGTCTATGTTTCATTCAGTATAACTATAGGACAAAAACCCATTTCTGTATAACTATACCTATTGTGTATAGGTGGAATATATCCAGTGTGCACACATGTTGAGGACTCAAAATGAAATAAAACCTGAATGGGTTATATGATGCTTTTGGATTGATTTGCAATCAGATTACTGTATATAGGATTTGTACTTAAAGTGCAATGTAACTATTTTTGATTTTGATCTAGCCTGTTTCTCTCTCTATATATATTTATTTTGAAATCTTTTTTGGTCCTTTTGGTTTATTTTGTTTTTATCCTTTCTATGTATCTTTTATATTCCACTGCTGAACATAGGCAGTTTTGGAAGAAATTGTTCACAGTTTACTCAAAATAATACAGTAGCTGAATGCTGCATTGATGAGTTCTCGTCAAACCTCTGACCTGTGCTTTCCATTTCTCTCTCCTATATTGTAGAGACAGAGACTTAACCAAGGTTCAGTTTTAGTCTGTATGATTCTTGACGTTGCGTATGAACCAGGCCTAGTAGTTGTTATTTATATATTGGAGGCCCAAAAATTTAGGTCCTTTTGCTGATTTGACAAAAAGTGTGTGAGGTAAAAATTGTAAGCCTCCTTTTTCTACCACTAAAGCCACTATGTGTCTCTCTACTGTTTCTATTTCCAGGCAAGATTAAAGAAGCTATACGTGATTCCACAAGAGCTGTTAATTTAGATTCTTCAAATCCTGTGAGTAATAATGAAGAAATTTTCTATCTAGCTATATGTTTCCTACAGTGATTGAAGATCTTCTCAAATGGGTTGTTCCTCTCACTTGCTGTGAATAGATAGATTTATATAAAATTATAAAGAAATATTTAGTAAAGAAACAAAGAATTATAGAATTTTATTTCTGTGGCAATTTTTAGATGTTCTCTTCTCATAGAAACAAGAAAGGTAAAGGTATCTTTTGGATAAACCAAAGAATGAAAACTTCTTATAGAAACCCTCTCTAAAGAAACAAAAGAAATAGTAAACCGAACTTGGAGCTATGCATTAAAAAAAAATTAGTGAAGCATTAGGATTGACAACAATTTGTTTCATTTGCTTAAATGAAAGGCATCTCAGGAAACATTGGTTCTCAAATTAGATGAGGTGCCATAGAATTAATTGCTCTACCTGCATTCAAGCAGTTGATATTATCAGATTAAAAGTGTAATTTATAATATATGGAAAGTGTCCCTCAAGTCATTAGATTCCGATATCCAGTAATGTCTGCAGCAGGAGGGTAGGTCAATAGAAGTAAGATGGCATTATGCCATAACATCTGAGAAGCTATTTCACCCCAGTGGGATTAGCCTATTCCACTTGCTCCAATGGAAGGGGTTTACTGAAACCCCCATCTGCTAATGAATTTTAGCTGACAGGCTTGAGAAGAAGAGCCTTTTCTACTATGGCCCTTGCCCTGTGGAACATGCTATCCTGATTTTGCTGGTTGGCTTGGGGCTCCAATAGGAGTGCTCCTTACTGGAGATATGGGATAAGACCTCACTCCCATGCAATCCATACCCTTGGTTTTAGCTCTTATGTGATTTTTCAATTTTAACTGTTTCCATATTAATCTTTTTTATTGTTTGTAAACTGCTCTGTGAGATGGGTGGCATATAAATTTAATTAATGCATGCACCAGAGCCAACAAGATAGGAGTTCACATTAATTTATTAACTATTATTAACTATTAATTATAAAAGAAAATGGCATGATGGATGTCCTACTCCTTGCATACAATGAAAGAAAGACCATGTATATAATGCATGCACCAGAGCCAATAATTAATTAATGTAAACCCCTATCTTATTGGCTCTGGTGCATGCATTAATTAATTAATTAATTAATTAATTAATTAATTTGAATCCCTATCTTATTGGCTCTAGTGCATGCATTATATACATGGTCTTTCTTTCATTGTATGCAAGGAGTAGGACATCCATCATGCCATTTTCTTTTATAATTTTGTAGGAAAGAAAAAGTTTATTTGTTCAGTTATTAAAAATTGATATCTCCCATACATACAGACTTCTGTCATTCTTTGTCTATTCAGCAGTTAGAATTAGGAGCACCGTCCCTCTTAAAGCTGACTATAAGATGTCAGTTAGGTTTTTTTTTTCCATTCAGATCTTAGAATAAAAGATAGCTTGATTGAGACATTGTGGTAAATTATACTTCGTTTTATTCAAAATGTGTCAAAGAGGTCACTGTGACTTCATGATAATGGCAATAATTTTATTTATTACTATATTTTGAAAAGCACTAATTCTTGCTAGTTCAAAATGCAACAGACAAGAACCCACTGCAATTTGTATATTATCTTTATTGAATATTGTATTGAAAGTGCTCCATCAGCTTCAAATTGATTTCCTGATGTAGTTTAAGGTGCTGAATGAAATAGTCTGGGACAGGAATGTCCAACCTGGGTAACTGTAAAATTTGTGGACTTCAGCTTCTGGGAGTTGAAGTCCACAAGCCTTAAAGTTGCCAAGATTGGACACCCCTGGCCTAGAGTCAAAGTATATAAAATATCCTGTCCCCTTAAATCCTACCCACTAATTTTGATTAGTTTCATAACTGTTTGGGGGTGAAGCTGGGAAGAAACAAAGAGTGATGTTGGCTCTCACTCTAATTAGCTGATATCCCACAGACTTAATTTTTCTGACTTTATTCTGGCACCTGATACCATCAAATTGAACATGTAAGTTATGATCAGTGAATGTTGTCCCTCAAGGGAGCACAAGAACACTATTTGCAAATATCTTCCTTGGATAGGTCTGCAATCCCCTATCATCATGTACTTAAAATAAGGTTGCTATGCACTTTTAAATGCTTTTAAAAACTTGGTTTATTAAATCCATTTTTTTGCTGTTTTGCTATGTGCTTTCATGACACACACATAATACTGCTCAAGAAATAAAGCAATATTTTCTAAGTTTTTATCCTGTAGAGGGTGGGTTATTTACAATGGGTGAAGTATAGTGGCCTGAGAGCTATTAATTGGGACAAATTAAATTCCAGGGCTGGCTGGGGATTTAACTCAGATTTTTCTTGTCCTAATTCAACTAGTACTCCTGTTAAAATACTGAGGTCATTGGGTATTTTTAGTTTGAGCTGAAATTATGTTTTCTATTTTCTAGGATGTATACTGTATCAGAGCTCTTGTATGGAGCTCAGCAAAAGAAAAAAGGAGAGCCCTGGTTGATTTGAATGCTAGTTTCAAACTGAATTCATCTCATATTTGTACTTTGATATTAAGGGGAGCTATTTTAAGCTCTTTGGGTAGCCTGCCTTCAGAGAAAAATAAAGATCATGAAAAGGTAATCCTGTTCTCCTAGAACCTATTGTTTAATATGTTTATCTCATAATGGTTTGAGTATTTTTTTTAAAACTGCAAATTAGTGACAGAATAATAGAAATATGGCATATATTGTTTTTGTTAGTATGAGGTATGGTTTACTCTCATATTTATGGACACAACTACTGACAATGCTACAAACAATTATTTACATTCCACTTGCTCTTAATTCCAGTAAGGAAAATAATTTTTCGTTTTAAAAATTTTTGTATTAAAGTTTGTAATATAAAATACAAATATAATAAAGATTAGAAAGGGAAAAGGAGTGTAATGAAAAAAGAAAAAGAAAGAAAAAGAAAGCAGTGACTTCCAACTCTTTACGATGCAGTAGAATACAAAATACAGTCAACTTTTTGCTTTACATTTCTAGTACTGTAGATACAAGCCGTTTCTACAACAGCAAAGTTGATCTAGTCATCAAAACCTAAGATCAAAATTTCATATTTTTTTTGTTTTAAGCATGAAGTCCAAAACTAGTTTCGAAGTGAAAACAAAACCTGGTAAACTCTTCTCTAATTAAAACAATCAGCTTTGCCATCTGCACCAACTTCATCACTTTTCCGTCCATTTCACTGTGGGAATTGACATGTCTTTCTTTCCATTTTTATGCATACAGGATTCTTCTACAGTCAACATATATAATAACAAAGTTCCAAATATTTTTTCAGGCTCTTTGTCCAGCAGTCCTTAAAAAGAAAACATCTGGTTTCAGCTTTATAGTTGCTTTTAAAAAAGAGATTTCTAAGTTTACCTAGGAAAACAGACGTGATGATATCTTATAAAATAAAGTATATTAATGAAATAAAGCTTGGACCACTCATGGAATATTAAAGCATTTTGAACCTGTAACCAAGAATAACACCAATAATGCCTATTAGGGCAGTGATGCAGTAATGGTAGCAGAAATCACCAAAATGTCTGAATTTTCTCAATAGTCAATCAGCTTTTCAGTAATGTTTTTGTAATCTGAGACAGCAGTGAGATTCATACACTGAACATTTCTAAAAATTAGTGTTGTATTATAAAAATTTAGGTAAGTTTCCCCTTTCTAGTTGTATCTGACTCTTGGGGGTGGTGTTCATCTCTGATTCCTAGCTGGGCAGTCAGCGTTGTCTAAAGATGCTTCTGTGATCATGTGACTGGCATGACTATGCTGAGGCGCATGGAATACTATTACGGTTCCACCAATGTGGTACCTATTTATCTACTTTTGCTTGCTTTTGAACTGCTAGGTGGCAGAAGCTGGGGCAGGAATGGAAACTTACCCTGTCACACAGTGCTTGGGATTGAACTACTGACTTTTCGGTCGATGAACCCAGCATTTTAACCACTATAACACCTATGGGATCACCGCTTTCAGGACTTTTAGCAGAGATCGTAATGCAATGTCTGAAATTGATAGCACTTCCACAAATACAACCCAAAATATGGATCAGATATAAAGATGACACCTTCACCATAATAAAAAAAGACAAATTAGAGAACATCCATAAAATCATCAACAACTTCCTCAAAGAAATCCAGTTTACCAGAGAGGAACAAACAACTCACTACCCTTCCTAGACATCCTGATCAGCAGAGACCACAAGGGCAAACTAGAAGAAACACAAGTGTACTGAAAAAACACCCACACCAATCAAGTGTTTCACTACTAAAGCAACAACCCAACCTGCTACTGCAGCAACCCTGGACAGCAGAAAAAGGAAACAGAGCATCTAGACAACATCTTCCAACAAAATGGATATGCATGCATTAAAAAGTGCCTGACCACTCAACCCAATACAGCACAACCAAGACAAGCTGTAAAAAAAAATAACACTGGCATACATCAAAAACATTTCAGAAACCGCAAATAAACTATTACATCCACATGGAATCAGTGGTGCAGTTGGTGCAGTCATCATCATTATAACTGACTGACCTTGCTGCTGGTCTTCTCTTTCCTTCCACCTTTCTCTACATTAAAACCTTTTCCAGACAACTAAGCCTTTGCATAATGTAGTTCTTTGTATTGGCTATTGTTTCTCAGTATTGAAGTCGAACTACCTGGAGGACACCAGATTGGGAAAACCTGACCAAGATTCTTTACCCTGTTACCAAAATGTGATTCTCTACTGTGGCCTAGTGGTTAAGCCTTTGGGCTCAGCAACTGAAAGGTTGGCAATTCAAGATCCAAGTATCATGTGATGAGGTGAGCTTCCGTTCTTGCCCTAGCTAGCTCCTATCAACCTGTCAGTTCAAAAGCATGCAAATCCAAGTAGATAAATATGGTCCAATTTGGTGAGAAGGTAAAAGCATTGGTATATATTCAGACAAACTGGTTCCCTCAGCTAGGAAACAGAGATGAGCTCTGCTCTTAGAGTTGACATGATTGGACAGGGGAAATCTTTACGAATGAAGGTGTGTCCAAGAATAACGTTACAGGATCCAACCTGGGTCGGCCACCAGGACCAGAGGTTTTGTCTTCCAAGCTTTCTGATTCATGCTCGTGTCCATCCTTAGGGAACTTCTCTTTTAACTTTTTACCTTTAAAGAGAAATCTTTACCTTTAATAAAGAGACAACATTTTACACTTCTAAAATCTAGTACAGATTTTTAAATCCTGCCCCGTGGCTGCACCTAGCCAACTTTAACTGATCTTGCACAGCTAAACAGGATCAGACTTTGATAGCTATTTAACAGGAAATCACCAGAAGTTATTAAGAGTGTAGGGTAGATTAGGAAATCAAAACCACATCCTGGAAGAAACTAGTAACAGACAAGTTCTGAACTGCGGCCAAGACAACTATGTGAATGAAGACCTCAGAAATCAAGCTCAACTTCAATGAGAATTTCTCAAATCTTACATTTCAAATGTCTAATTATATTTTTCAAATAGCACTGTAATTATCCAGGTATGAAATATGTATTTGTTTTCCATTAGGCCTTGGTTCTCTCTTGGGACAGTAAGGATTTCTGTGATGTGGAAGACTTTTATCATCCTAAAATGCTCTCTTTCTATGATAAGTGAGTATAACTATAAGCTTCAGGGAAATCATTGTTATATACATAGTGAATAGGGAGACCTCCCATCCGAAGAGTTTCACACATGAAAGAGTTAAAGAAAAATCTTAATCTGACCTGCCAATCAAACCTAAACTTGTCAATCCAGATAGTTGATGGAGAAATTCAGTGCCCAGGGAGATCAAATGCTGGTGTCAACAAAGAACAGGAATATTGTTTTCTTAAGTGGCTTCCAAAAAGAAGACAATTCCTGTTTTGTCTTTGGTGTTTTTCCTTTAAGAGAAGAACAGTTGACTCACTCGGCATGTAAGAAGAGCCCTGACTTGGCAGTGGGATTGAGAATAAGGAAAAATGCAATAATAAACTAATTTAAATCAGATATACATTAGAATGTATCCATGGAGCTTGGTTTGTGTGTGTATGTGTGTGTGCATTTCAGCCATGAGTGGAAGCAGTTCATTTCCCCCATCTCTTGTTTTCTCAGTCCCCCTTTAATTAATATACATACAAAAGAAAGATAATAATTAATCTTAGCACAAGGAAATTATGATAAGATGAAATGAATGAGAAGAGATTGCCACTTTGCTTGCTTCTGAGTAATTCAACATGATAGAGGATTTCTGCAGAAAAAGTTGTTAAGAGGCAATATTTACTGAATAGTTGCCCTGGAAGTATGGAATGTGTAGTAGAGATTGTGAAGGATGGGCTTCAAGACACCCCCCTCTCTTGAGGGAAGTGGAGTGCCCAACTCACCATGTCTCGTATGTGAGTGTGTTTGCAAGCTCCCTTTACATGTGCAGAATAATAGCATCTACATGTATCACTTATTTGCAGATGCAAACTGTTTTCTTTATCAGAACTTTATCTGTTTCAGATTGTATGACCCTTTAAAGTTTATATATATAAAGTGTAAAAAGATAATAAAGCTATAGTAATTGTTTTACAGATTCTTGTGGTCTCTAAATGCTTTTCACACCATAACAGAAATCAACCTCTTTGATGGAGCTACATATGCAGCCAATTGTAAGAATGAGTGAATGTATATAATGCTACTTTACTTCCTTTTGTTAGTGTCTTTTACTTTAGTTGTGTTATTCAGCATATCCTTGATTATATAACCCTGATTAATAGTTTTAATCTCCAAAAAAATTAATACACATATTATTTTTCCTTGGCATAGACGAGTTTCGTAGATTTTACTTTGTTTGCTTCACTATCTTGTGAATGTTGGATTTTGCACTTACTTGATTTGATATAGAAAAGTGTATAAAGTACAGGGGTGTGAGTTTAACAGTAGAAGCTGTTCATATAAGATTTATTTCTTTTTTTTTTTTTTTTACAAGGAATTGGCTAATTTTTTGTTCTTTAATTGCTTAACTCTTTAATGCATTTTGTTTGTTGTATTCCTGAATTGGCAGCAAACATAACTAGAGATGTGGGACAATCAAAGAAATCATTTAGATGTGGATCTCTTGCAACATATTCCGACAATACATCCTTAGAAAGAAGAAAAGTATACACAGAAGCAGTCAGGCAATCAAGTATAGGACTTAATGGTAAATACTGCAAAGGTTTTTGAACAGAATAAGAGTAAGAGGGCATAATCTTTTTTCTAGATACCATTTTCCTGTACTATATAATAATGTAGACTTTGATTGTAGACTTCCAGGCTGTCTTTGTCAAAGGGCCATTTGATAATGATGATTTATAGCAAGCATCACTGCTACAGGGACACTTAATTTCTCACAATCTTGCCCTATTTTACTATTTTACTGTGAATTTTCTATTGCTTACTGAACTGTGATATATTTGTAACTTGCCAATTACAGAAACTATTAGAATAATAGAAGAATCAAATCAAATCAAAAGAACACCGCTTAGGGGGGCCCTGAAAGCCCTACTACGCAGATATAAACAAAAGTATGAAGGGTATTGCTTAACGCATTGTAAGCCACCCTGAGTCTCCGGAAAAGGGCAGCATATAAATTGAACCAATAAATCAACTTTAATTAAGATCAAAGATAACTCAAATATACATTATATATAGGCTTTCTCTGATTTCACAGAAATTAAAGTCAATAGTCTGAAGCCCCTGGGCATATCAAAATTACCATTTCTTTTATGTCATGTTTAGATACAAATAGTTCAGCAGTGGCCTAAATGTCAGCTATTTTATGGAAGAGCAAAGCTCTTTAGGGCCACAGATGTTCTCAAAGTTCTAATGTATCCAGGAAGATGGAATGTGCAATAGTATTCCAATTGATTCTGTGTCCTTTCTGCTTATATTAGGTCACATATTTATTCAAATTGCATGAAGCAGCTTTATGGCTTTAAATAATTATTCAGCTATCCCAATGTAATCATGCTTATTCAATGCAGCAGAAAGATTATACAAGATAGATTATTCATTCTTTTTTCCCCTACCTATTGCTCTGTCTTTTTAAAATATGCTTGAACTCTGGCCTGGTATTCTAGTGAAGAAAGACTCAAGTTCATTTTCATCAATAACACGGGGATCTGGTAATTATTACCATTATTATTAATAATACTGTTTTTGTTAGTGACTAATTTTGTTAGTTATGATAATCCTTCAAATTTAGCATATGAAAACCTTAACATATTCAACATATTTGAAAGATTTAACAGAAGCTTAGAAAGGAAACCTGAGAACATGCTGAATTTCCACATAATGCATATAGGCTTTCCTCCATTTATAACTGTAATCGAGCCTGGCAACTACGGTCAAAGTCATGAGGGCAATGGTGAAATCTGAACTGACTCACTGGCTGCACATGCATGCTGCATGCCAAATGCGCGCTGCATGCGCACATGCGCAGTGCCCACCACGGACTAAATGCGAGGCACGAATAGGTTGTTAAAAATGCTTTTAAAAGGTTAAAAAAAGGTTCTGACTTTCACAGCTGTGGCACTTTTTTTTTTTTTTTTTAATTTGATTTATATGCCGCCCTTCTCCGGAGACTCAGGGCGGCTTACAGTGCATTAAGCACTTGATCATCAGAGCCTTTTTTTTACTTTTAAAAGCATTTTTAACTACCTGTTCCAGAGAACCGGTAATAAAAAAAATGCTAACAATGTAAAAAAACAAAAAGTTCCGACGATCGCACATCGCTCAGTTGATCTTTGGAACTTTTTTTTTTTACATTTTTTACTACCAGTTCAGCGAACCTGTAGCCTTTTTACTACCGGTTCAGGTGAACCGGGAGCATTTCACCCCTTCATGAGGGCCATAAAGCGGATCATGACATGACTAACCTGATTTTATGATCTTTATTTGTGGCATTTGTTAAATTTCTGCCACAGTTTTTGAGCGACTGGCACAGTCATAAAGCAAATACTATGGTCATTAAATAAACCCATTGTTCACTATGGCAGCTTTTGCTGGAAACTGGAAGTTTCTGGCAAAAATGTCATAAAAGTTGGTGATGTGATTGCAGGAAACTGCAAATGGCCATAAATGTGAGACAATTGCCTAGTGCCCAAAGTGTGGTCACATGACCACATAATATCCAGCCAAGCTATTGGAATTGTGGACTCTGGTTGTAAGTAGTTTTTGGTAGGTCTATCATAACTTCAAATGCTTGCTAAGTGATCAATGTAAATCAAGACCTACTTGTAGTTTAATCAATCCCAATACACAGCATAAAGGCTACAGTTTTGCATACATTTGACTGGATTATTGCATGGTTTGAAGTTCTGTTGAATTCATCACATTTTGAAGACTATAATGAATGCATCGCTTAAATAATTCATTTATGGTTTACGGTAAGCATTATCTCAGATGTATGTAAGAGTAGGGCGGGGGAAATTAATCTAAAATGGGAAACCTAGAGTTTTTGTTCTTATTCATTTGACTCAGCCTTCCATCCTTCCGAGGTTGGTAAAGTGAGGACCCAGATTGTTGGGGGCAATATGCTGACTCTGTAAACCGCTTAGAGAGGGCTGTAAAGCACTGTGAAGCAGTACATAAGTCTAAATGCTATTACTATTAAATATATATATATATTAAATATATATGAAATGAATTTAATATATATATTAAATATATATGAAATGAATTAAATATACTATGAAATGAATCCTTTCTAAGAAATATGCAAATGATCATATATATATTTAGTTGATTTAGATCTGTTTTATCTAGTTAAACATTATAAAGGTAAAGGTTTCTTCTGCCCAGTTGTGTCTGACTCTAGGTGGCAATGCCCATCTCTGTTTCATTAATATGTTATGAACCAATTCTCATACATACATACATACATACATATCTACATGTACATACATACATACATATACATACATACATATACACACACATATATATTCATTCATATTCATAACACATTTACACACATACACAGACACACACATACACATATTTTACAGGTCCTCAATTTACAACCACAATTGAGCCAAAAATTTCTCTTGCTAAGTAAGATATTTGTTAAATGAGTTTTGCCCCATTTTATTACTTTTCTTGACAGTTGTTAAGTGAATCAGTGCAATTATTAAGTTAGTAACATGGTTGTTAAGTGAATCTGACTTCCCCATTGACTTTGCTTGTCAGGAGGTGATCACATGATCCCAGGATGCTGCAACCATCATAAATATGAGTCAGTTGCCAAGTGTCTGGATTTTGATCATGTAACCATGGGGATGCTGCAATGGTCATAAGTATGAAAAATGGTCATAAGTCACTTTTCCAGTGCCTTTGTAACTTTGAATGGCCACTAAATGAACTGTTGTAAATTGAGGACTACATATATATTTAATTATATATTAATTTGGAGAATTAGCATACTAATTGTGGAATTTCCTCCCCAGAAATGAGGGATTAATTCCCTATATTATTTTAGAAGGGAAGAAAGACTATACTATTTTATATATTTTACTGTTCCTCAGTTTGAGTGCCACTTCCAAATTTCCCTAAATAAAAATTCTTCCCTTTTATTTTATAAGATGTTTTTAATATATTTTTAAATTGTATTTCCCTGAGCACATGCTAAATGGAAGGGTGTAATATATAAAGTTATTTCATAAATAAGTATATAGTTGTTATTTTATTTGTCATTGCATTGCTAATATATCCTAACATTTACTCTTTTTTTATATCTAAATCTGTCCTTAGGGAAGAAAGACTTGAGTTCATCATTAACATGGGGATTTGGTAATTATTTTTTTCTTAATAACTTTTTGTAAAAAAAATCATGTTATGATTGTTTCTTTGGCTCTTTCTTCTTCTTCTCTTCCTGTTGTCATGATCATCAACTTTAAAGTAATTTGCAGAATTTGTCTTATAATATTAACCAATTAGACTTTGCAGAGGGAAACACAAGAATGTGCTCCACATTTATTATACATAGATTATACATCATATATTGCAGGCAAGCCAGATCCACACAAGGTGGGAATCTATATATCAAAAGACAAATTGCTTTTCCTCGTCAGAAATTTGAAGAAATCTCATATTAGCCACTTATGTGCAGTTAATCCAGCATATAAGAACACTTATTTTGAAATAAATATAGAAATCAACTGATTTTGTTTGGTTCAAAGGATGCTTAGATATAAAAATGTGCTGACTAGACCAAATGTCCCTTCTCTGTAGAAGATGAAGAATCAAAGAGTTATGAAGCAAATGGAACCAGGAAATATTCAAAGAAACCATCAAAGCCAGTAGACTGGGTTTTGTGAAGAACGAATCACGTTTCATGGTAAGACGGTCACTTGGGGTAAAGAAAAGTATAGTATTGTTATGTCCTTATAAGGACATCTGCCGGGGATTGGCTAATCCACCGGTGGGAAATTCAAACAGCTGTCATTGGACGGCTGAGTCTGCCGAAGCATATAAAAGAGCTCCGGCAGCATAGCCGTCAGCCTTCATTCAGAGCTGAAATAAAAGTACTGAATGGACCAACGCTGGTCGCGTCTTCCTTTCCCTGCGCCGATCTAACACTGGCGACGAAGGTACCAAGGACCAAAGCGACGAACCTCGTGGCACTCTGCCAACACCACAAAAGAGCTAGTCACTGAGCTGAAGTCACTGACTAGAAGTCACCTGAAGCATGGCGGCACCAGAAACCGCGTTGCTGACATTAGCCCCTTTCCGACCAGGAAAGGAGACATGGACATCCTATATGATCCGTTTTTGCCAGTTCCTGAGGGGCAACAACATCCGAGATGTGGACGACGACCGCAGAAGAGCCCTATTCCTGGCCCACTGCGGTACCGAAGTCCTGGAGATGGTCGTTGACCTCGTGGCACCGAGGGACATCGAAGAGATGTCATGGATGGATCTGCAGCAAGTGCTCCAAGACCACTACGCACCAACGGGAACCCCGGTTGCCAGCCGATTCACCTTCCACCAGAGGGACCAACGTGAAGGCGAATCAATCAAAGAATTCGTGGCCACCCTGCGCCAAATCGCTGCAAACTGCAAATTTGACAATGTGGACAATGCCATCAGTGACCGCATTGTGTTTGGCATGAGGGACAGGGCCCTCCAGAAAAAATTCTTGAGCAGAAAGAAGTTGGTGCTCAAAGATGTCGTGGAAGAGGCCACAGCTGCCTCATCCGAAAAACCGGCAGCCGCGATGCTAAGAGCCAAAGGGATCCACAAGATCCAGAGGGCACCCCAATCTTCCACAGAGAAGTCAGCTGCCGGATCGGATTCGGAGGAAGAAATGGCCGTGCATAAGGTCTCCAGACCCCCAAGGCGGGAAACCGCTCAAAATGGCGATCAGGGGGAACGTTGTGCCAGCTGCAGAGGAGACCATGCCAGGGCCAAGTGCAGGTGGAGAGATGCGACTTGCAGATGCTGCAACAAGAGGGGTCACATCGCCGAAGCCTGCAGAGCCGAGGATCCAGCCCCAGAACCGTCCAGCCACCGGCTGCGCGAAAATCATGACGACTACGCGAGATCATCTAGACGGTCCTACTACCAGCCCAGACGGGGAGAAAGTGACGGCGGCCGGAGGAAAGCAGTCCATCAGACGACCATAGACCACTCAGACGACGACAGCATCACCAAGTGCCACGTGACAGTGCACGTGGAAGGAACCCCATGTTCCATGGAAGTAGACTCGGGATCGATCTACTCCATCATGGACTGGCAGCAGCTGAAGCGTCTCAAGCCTGGAGTCTGCAAGAGAGATCTGAAGCCCTTACGGTCAAGGCTGGTCGACTTCGGAGGAAACCCGATCGGAGTCCTGGGAATAACGTCACTTCGGATTTCCTATCACAACTTCCAGGACAACCTCCCCATCATCATCGTCCAGAACAGCCGCCCGAACCTACTAGGCATGGAATGGTTCAAGCCACTAAGGCTCGAGATCAAAGGAGTTCACCAAATCCGACAGGACGAACTCGACACCCTCCTCGAAGAGTTCAGGGAAGTCTTTGATGGTAAGCTGGGGAAATTTGTGGGGAAGCCCATTTCCTTCAATTTAGATAAGGCAATTACACCAATTAGGCTTAAGCCCCGCAGAGTTCCGTTTGCCTTGAGGCCCAAAGTCGATGCTCAGCTAGATAAGATGATTGCCCAAGGCGTATTGGAGCCAATTGATCATGCAGCATGGGAGACCCCCATTGTGACCCCCATGAAGCATGATGGATCTGTGCACATGTGCCGACTATAAATGTTCAATCAACAAGGCTTTGCAACAGGGCGCATACCCAGTTCCAGTGGTGCAACATCTGCTGCATTCACTAGGGAGTGGGTCAATATTTGCCAAACTGGACCTGGCCCAGGCTTACCAGCAACTGCTAGTAGATGAAAAAACAGCAGAGGCACAAACAATTGTCACCCACCGGGGCGCATTTAAATGTAACCGTCTCCAATTTGGAGGCAGCGCAGCCCCAGGAATTTTTCAATCTATGATGGAATGCCTTCTTCAAGGCATTCCAGGGATGGTACCGTACTTCGATGATGTCTTAATCTCCGGCCACTCTAAAACCCAGCTACTTGAGCAACTGAAGCTAGTTCTACAGCGCTTTAAGGAGAAGGGTTTGAGAGTCAGGAGAGATAAGTGCATCATTGGGGTCCAGGAGGTCGAGTTCCTGGGCTATCTCATTGATGGAACTGGCATCCACCCCACCAAATCTAAAGTTAAGGCTATCCACGAAGCTCCAGCCCCCAAAAACAAAGCGGAGCTTCAGGCTTTCTTGGGACTACTGAATTTTTACAGTGTCTTTTTAAAACAGAAAGCCACAGCTACTGAACCACTCCATCGCCTATTGGGGAAAGCGGTTCCGTGGAAATGGGGGACAGAGGAGGAAACAGCCTTCAAAAACATCAAAGGACTGCTCTCTTCAGACAGCGTCCTAATGCAATATCACGAGACGCTGCCCCTCCTGCTGATCTGCGACGCGTCACCTTACGGGATTGGAGCAGTCCTCAGTCACCAACTCCCAAATGGAACAGAGGCACTCATCGCGTACTTCTCAAAAACGATGTCCAGCACCGAAAGGAACTATAGTCAGCTGGACAAGGAAGCCTTGGCCATCGTTGCGGGCATCAAGCGCTTCCATGAGTACCTGTATGGTTGGAACTTTACAGTTATCACAGACCATAAGCCACTGTTGGGACTATTCGCGGGCGACAAACCCACACGAAGCTACATGTCGCCCAGGATGACACGCTGGGCAATCTTCCTTGCCGGGTACTCATATACTCTAACCCACAGACCCGGCAAGACCATCGGAAACGCCGATGCCTTGAGCAGATGCCCATCCCAGGAGTCGGTGGAAGACCCAGCCCCCACACTTGGACTATTCCACATTGACAATGACCTCGCTTGCCCAGTCACCTCCGCAGACGTGGCATCACAGACCCAGAAAGACCGAACGCCCAAACAGGTACTGTCTTGGGTTCTGCGCGGGTGGCCCATGGGGAAGACGGATGGAGAACTGAGGGAGCCGAGGGAATCATCTATAGCGACCCAAGCCTCCCTTCGATTTGACGGTGGCCGGAAAAAAGCTGGGCTGCCGGGGGAGAGGGGTGCAGGAAGCGGAGGGCGATGGACCCGGCACCCGGAGGCTCAGATTTGAGGCTCGGGGTGTATGGTCCAGCGGTCAGCTGCGCCTGAAAAACCCCCACATGGACCGAGACCTGGGAAGATCGTGGCAGAATTTGCTTCGAGAAAACGGGCAGGACTATTGGGGGTGATTTGGCCCGGAACATCGAAGGGAGTTGGGGAGTGATAGAGGGGGATTGCCAATTACCATCTGGTTTCCCCCTTGGATTCGCCCCCCCCCTATGAAAATGGCCTTCCCCCGTTGCTACCTGGACTCTCTATTAGGTCGGCCCATTTTTCCATCACTACTGACTCTGGGACTTTATTATCACCCTCCTGGATTTTTATGTTTGTTCTCTATCTCCTTCTGCTGCTGGCTAGTTTATTCCTGCTGCCCGATTTCCATCTTTAGGCCTTGGCTCGGGGGAGGAGAGATTGCAGGCTGGAGGGAGAAGCTGAGAGTCCAGGTCAAGGACTGCTGCTCCATCTGCAGGGAGAGAGTGACTATTGTTGGCCTTTTACATCCAGCCGCGGTGAGAGAATGGCTGTGGCCATCCGCCTGCACTGCAACCATCTGATCTGGTCGCCCCATCACTGTGAGAGAGTGAAGGGGCCCCAGCTTCATCCTGGCCAGCCTCTTTTGCCATCTCTTTAAATATCGCTGACATCCAAGGTTCCCCTTTTCCATCTCATCATACTTGTATGGCTTATACCTTGGCAGATTTACTCGCGCTGCGAGATGACCCCCTCTCGCGGCGATGGCCTTCCACTCTATCGAAGGCCTACCTTAAGGACGGGCTTTGGAGCCCCGAGAGGTGGCATGTTTTAAAGCGGGGATTGAGGGTTTTTTTTAATTAGGGTTTTTAATAATCTTTTAAGGGGAACTGGGAGGGCGACCAAAGGGGATGGGGGGGGGGTAATCCACCTAGGTCAGGGCCCAGCCCGGCACAGGGTAACGGTTTGGAGGGCGCAGGATGAGGGATTGGGGATGTCATCAGCACGGTGGATGGGAGGGGCAGATATGGCGAGAGCAGAGGACCTTATCTTGTGCCGGGGGGGCGCACTCGCTACTTGAGAGCGATTGCGCACCCCGGTCCTCAAGGCTCCCCTCGGATACTAGGCGGCTCAGATACTCAGGACCTGGGCCTCCGGCTGATGCTGTGCAACGCCAGGTCCGTGGTAAATAAGGCCCCCCTCTTTTACGATCTTATTCAAGAGGGGGGAGCAGACCTGGCGGGTATTACGGAGACCTGGTTGGGCCCGGAGGGAGGGGTCCCTTTGGTTGAGATGTGCCCACCAGGCTTCAGAGCATTCCATCAGCCGAGGGCTCAGGGGAGGGGCGGGGGGGTGGCGGTTATTATTAACGAAGGTCTGGGTCCGAGGGAGACCACTGTGCCACAGATTGCCGGGTGTGAGTCCCTCTTTGTGAGATGGAGTCATGGGGTTGAGATGGGCTTGCTGCTTATGTACCTGGCTCCCTGCTGCGTGGCAACGGCCCTGCCCGAGCTACTCGACGTGATAGCCATGGTGGCAGTTGATACACCCAGGCTTATGGTCATGGGTGATTTCAATCTGCCGTCCGTTGGTGAAACGTCGGAGATGGCTTGGGAGTTCATGGCTTCCATGACGGCCATGGACTTGACCCAGTTAGTTCATGGCCCCACTCACAGGGGGGGGACACACGCTGGACCTGATTTTTG